CACCTTGTTGGGCGGGTAGCAGGGGTTGGGCCCGCCACCAACAATAGCGAGGAAGTTGCAGCGAAACAGCATTTCCACCATGCCCACGCTGCGTCGTCGAACTCGCGCCGGATCGTCTCCACAGCGGTCGCAGCAGAACACGCGGAACCGCTGCGCGTGCCACACGCGAAGCACGAGAAGTCCTGGTTGAACCGCACCGACAGCGCCGCGCCTTCCGCCTCTGCCGCCTCCCGCTCCCGCGCGCCCCGCCCCTGCGCGGCGGCTAACGCGTCGTGCGGGAGCGGAAGAGGCGCCTGCGCGGAGGGTTGCGGCGGGCCGCCGTGCGCGGCTGCCTGAGGCTGCAGCGGGTGCAGCGGTGAAGCGGGTGTTGGATGTCGGGGGCAGCAGCGGCGGGGGGGAAAGCAGCACCCGCGGAGTCCCTGTCCGCAGAGGGCTCCGCCTCTCTCTCCGCCATATGCGGCTGCGCCAAAGGATCCGCAAAAGGATCCACGGAGTACCCGTCCGCTCCGCCAACTGCGCGGCGTCCTGCGCGGCGGAAGGGAATCTACCGGCGGGGGGGCGGTATGCATGGCGGCGGCAATCCCAAGGTTTGAGTCCAGGTCGGAGAGTCTGAGAGGCGTGAACGAGAAACTGTTTTTGAGATTTCTCAATACGAGGCACCTGGGCGAGACGGAAGGAGGCAGAGGGCAGGACGGCAGATGACGGATTGCTCAGCGGAGGTTAGAGTCAGGGTGTAGCAGCAGACAGCTGCGACTGGTGAGCTAAGTCGAGAGGAACAGCAGTAACGAAGATAAAGCCGTGCAAAGCCGTGTGACACAAGTGAAAGGAGTGCGATACGCGGACAAGCACGACGAGGATGTGACACGTGAACTCTCTGCTGTGGAGTGGATTGAGTGGGGGACATGTGACCTCGCTGCTGTGTTGACCCCTGGCTGGCTGAATCTGATCGGAACACCCATTGCGATTGGTGGGATTCAAGGGGATGCGATTAAAACACATTTTCTAGAGCAAATGCTCTATTTGATAAAGGCCACTCAAATGCGATACCCCAAACTGAAAACAGAGTGAGCCACTGGCCAATACCCTGACAATAGCACCCTAAATCCTAAGACTAAACCTAGTGATAAAGAGGTAACCTATTGGTGGGGACGGGAGCTGATGCTTGGCTTCTTCATGGCCAAGGGATTGCTAGAGCTGGGTGCTGCTGCAAACCCGTTCTTTGGGATCTTGTTTTCACCAGGCCCTGCAGTGTCTTCGCCTCCAGCTCTGCAATCGATTTCTGTAGCTGCTCTTTCTTCAATTGCTGCCCGTGTGTGTGTGGATCAAGGGCCAAGACAGAATCTGGAACCTCTCTGACATGTGAAGCAGGCCCCAGATGTACACCGTCACCCCTGCTGGATGCAGCCACCTTTGGTCCAAGGTTGCTGCTATGTAGTCTCCCCTGAGAATCACCATCTGAATCCCTCCTTCCAGTCTGCAGTCCAAGTTCCCCTGATTTGCCCAACATCCGTGAATGCGCATCAGGATCTAGCTCCTTGCTCCCCTCTCTCTGTAGTGCAGACAACTTCGATGGCAGTGCTGCATCAGACTTAGAAGCATACTCCCTGCCTGCACTCGAGAAACTCGGCGCCCGCCTTCTCAGAGGCCGCCTTACGAAGTCCAACCCGCCAAGCTCCTCGCGCTCATGTGATTGTGGTGACAAATGATGGCCCCTGCTCGGGCTCCACGAGGAAGACGTGTCGGATCAAGGCTTGCAACTGAAGACGAAAATCTTCCACCACGTTCCCCTCCCTTGGACAGTTCGCCTGGGCTTGCTCCTGCAGATGCTTTGGCGGAGCTCTTCCCAAATCACCCTCCAAATCCCTCTTGACCATGTCTCCAGAAACATGCTGGTCTCCCTTCGCATCCATGCCCCGTTGCCTCTCCTGCAACAGATTCTCTCCCACATTGGCCCCCTCTCGTCTTCTGACTCCAGCTGTTCCCTCCTGATAGTCAGCCCTCTCCCTGTCAGCTCCTCCCTTCACGACCTCCACCAGAGTCGCCCTTGAACCGGAAACCCTGTCAAGCTTCGAATCAAGGTCCCTGGGTTCCCTTCTAGCCTGCCAGTAAGCCTCCTGGTCCTTTGTGCTGCCGCCATCCTCTGGTAAGCTCGACCCCCATGGCCTGAACCATCCTCCTCCCCATCACCCCTCCTATCTCGCTCTACACCCTCATGCCTGCCCACCATCGTACTGCTCCCTTCGGTTTTGCTTAGCCCAAGGTTCCTCACCAGGCTCCACGTCTCTCGACTGGTACCTCCATGCCTCAGCTCTGCGAAAAGCTTCTTCTCTGGACCAGTCACGCGGATCCCACTTCTTCCCCCCTGGCCCAAAGTCGAATCGATGAGGCGCGACGCCATAGTATTCCCCATCTCCACCATTTGCGTACATGTGTGGAGGCTGCATCCCTGCCCTCTGCTGAGACAACCACCAGGGAGGAGCATTGGGGTCCTGCACCAACTCGCCCCATTTCGCCGGAGGGGAACGAGAAGAATCCCTTGAAGGTACACGTGCTGGCGGGGTGTTGGCTCGGTACGTCCTTGCTCGCGACTGTGGTCCAGATCCCTCACCCAGCCTCTTCCGCGGCCGTCGTGACCTGCATCTCTGCCTGGGCCGTCTCGACCAACGCCCCAGCGTGGATCCCTCTCCATTGCCTCACGATGTCCGCTGGAGCTATGATGAGGCGCTACCCTCTCCCAGTCAGGGCGCGACGGATGGTGCCTGTCCCGCGGGTCTCCGTGTACATCCCACTCTCCTTTCGCATGCATGTTCCCGCTGCCACCCCCGTCATTCGAGTAATATTCCGGCTCGGCTCGTTCATCGCCACCCCTGCGGAAGCCTACCCTTGAATCGCCGTGATGCAGCAGCGGTTGAGAACGCGAAGAATATGGTACGCCGGGTTCCAGGAGTCCGTTGAAACGACCGCCAGGTCCAGGAACCGCTCGTGCTCTCGATGAGGATTTCGGCCAAGGTCGTTCGAGCTCGAACCAGGCATAGGCCAGAGAAACTGTCCATCTTGCCTCTTCTATGCCTGTTCCTCACTGCAAGTAACCGCTGCCAATACCGCATCTCCAGCTCTTGCATTCTCATGCTCCCTCTCCAGCCGAAGCTCCTCCTCCTCCCTTATCAGGTCGTCGTCCCCGTCACCTCTTTCTAGCTCACCAGAAGAACTCCACGGGCTCGCAAATGCTCTTGGAAGTTCCGCCACGGACTGGCCTGTGCAGCATAGGATCCCATCCTCCGGACGCCTCGCTGTGCCTCTTGAGCTCAATCACAGCGCTGAAATCAGTCAGGCTCTTCCCTCCCGCTCGATGCTGAATCCCTCCTGAGATCACTCGAACCATCCGACGGTAAGCGAAAGGGCAATATCATCAGCTGCGAACCTCTTCACTGGTGCGTCTCCAGGCCACGCTGGCTGCCGTTGCCTCCTCCCCCTGAACGTGGCCTTGGGCCGTCTTCAGAATCGCTCAACGTTCCCGATCCTCGCTGCTGCGCTCCTTCGTCCCGACTCATCGCTGGAGAACCCGGCCCCGCCATCAGCGACTGTGCCTGGTAGGCCTTCCCAGAAGCGACCATGAGTCACACCAACGTGGTCCAAGCCTCCGTTTGCAGGCGAGCCAGAGAAAAGCTTCGTTGACGCAGAAGGCGAGGTAGCACTTGGCCAACCCCGTTGGCAGGAATGAGATCGAGAACGCGAACGCGAAGGAGAGGCTGAACGCGATCTGTCCGAAGATCGCCCGGGCAACGAATTGGATGACGAAATTGTACTCAGGTGAACCTCTCCAACTTCTTCACCTTCCTCTTCATGCTCTTCTTGATCGTCCGCATCACTGACCTCACTCCTGGTTCCATCCGAGCCCTCGGTTTCGTCAAACGATGGCCCCCGGTTTCCAATCCGGCACGAGCTTCATGATTTCCGCGTCTATCATCTCAGCAATGCTGGTAACATCTTGGTCGGACAGGGCGAGCTCTTCAACCATCTCACTCGCGACGCTAAAAGCAGTGTCTTCTTCCATGTTGAACGGAAAATGGATGTTGCGCACCAAACCTGAGTATCAAGAGAAAAAGGGTGAGGGGAAAAGCGAATTAATCACAAGTATCAAGCAGAAAAGGAGAGGAAGAAAACGAAATAATCCAAATCACCAAAATACTAACTTGTTAGCAAAACCTTACCTTCTGAATCGACGATCCTCAAACGTAAGAACACAGTGTGATCATCGTCTTCAACGAGCTTTCCCTTCACTTTAAAATCTCTACTGCAACGAAGTCGATCTGCTTCATGCAAACCCTCGAGATCACTGTCGCTGGATCTGCTTGCACTGCTCTTGAGCTGTTGATCATTCTCAGCATTTCCAGACGCTGTAGATTGCACCTCTGTCTGCAACGCAGGCTTCTCCGGACTCGACTTCGACCTGAAAGAATCCTGACCTCGGCTTCCCACACTTGATAAGTCGCTTCCTTTGGACATGGAGCGAGAGAGATGCGACATGTCAAGGTTTCCGAGGCCCCCACGATCACCATCATTGAGAAAAAGGGTCCATCAACAATTCCCTTGCTGGAAGGCGGCGTGAAGCAGTGGCCAGGCACTTCTCCACGAACGCTCGCACTTCTGGGTCCTTAACCTTGTCCAGCGCTGCAGGCTTCTTGCCCTGTAATTAAAAAAGAGACCTTAGGCGGATATTCGCGACGGAAGATAAAGCATGGCAGGTCACTATGGCTTACCGAAACAACTTTCTTGTAGATCTGTGCAGCGTTCTTGCACTCGCTGTAAGGATACTCCAGAGTAACCATTTCCAGTACGCACATGCGAAGGCATAGATGTCGACGAGCTCGTTGTATTCCTCTTCGTACAGCTCTGGAGCCATGAACTCGGGAGTACCTGAATCCAGAGAACCCAATATAAGCAACTGCTGCAACCACGGCTCCAAAAAACGTGAGAAATGAGTACGGCGACGCTTACCGATGACGCTGTGCGCGGCGTTTTTGTGTTTCAGAATAGCTGCAAGCCCCAAATCGCCAATTTTCACCTCTCCTTGGTTCCCGTTGACAAAGATGTTGTCACACTTCAGGTCCTCTGTGAATGATAGGAGGGTCATGGCTGTGAAGGTACAGGAGGCCTCGAAGTATCTGACGAGACCAGTTTCTTCACCGCTTTCATGTCACAGTGCTTGTGCTTCTTCCGGTACCTGAAAGCAATAATATTATCACGGTTAATATCAACAGATTTATTGAAACCAGGCAGCAAACGAATCAGCTATCTTACTGTCTCAGCGTGCCCGACGTGAAAATCTCGGTGATGAAGTTGACGTTCTTGGACTTAATGTCCACCCAAGAGTTGTAGAACTTTTATGATGTTCTTATGCTTGAGGGTCTTCAGAAGCCGCACTTCTGAGAACAGTCGCTCCAGGTCCTCTTGGCACTGAAACACCTCTTGCACCTTCACTTGATTCCACGCCACCTCAATCCCATCCACTTCATCAAACGCCTTATAGCTGCGCAGGTCGAGGGCAAAAGAGCATCAGACATACAGAACACAGAATAAGGATATTAACGGCAATGAAGAAAGA